GCGAGCCGGCCTCCGCCGTTGTCGTCGTAGTCGCGTCCTAGTCATCGTCGTCGTGCCGTTATCCGTCTCGCCTCTTCCACCTCCTATATCGCCGTCGTGATCGTGGTTACCGTGTTCCGAACGCGTGTGTTGGTGTTGCAGTGGTACCGGATCGGTTCCCCGAACGGCGAGAGGCCCGCGCGACTCGCGTTTAACACTGTCGATCCAATCGGCCGGTGGTGATATCGCGAGGGTGAAATGGGTATCGGTTGGCGCGTGCCGCGTCGCGGTGAACGTTGCGTCGCTGATCGCCGACAGCGGCGCCATAACGGGGTGCGTTCGCACGAGATCGCAAGTGTGAGAGCATAAAACGAAGAGGAGAAAAGGGTGCCGCGAAATCGCCACAGAAAGTTCGCGGGCCTTCCGTTTCTTTCGCTCAGTGCCGTGTTCTTCGTTGCGTGCCCGCCACCGCGTAGCTGTGTGCCGTTGTGCCCCCGGCGGGAGAACGAGAGCGTGGCTCAGGATTGAAAATGTGAGCAAGGTGCTGTACCGGTTGGTCAACGGGACACCGGACGATTTCGTTGACAAGGTAACCAGCCGACCTTTTTACGCGCCAAAATTACCGGCCTGTCTAAATCACCGCGTGATTTACCCGCCTGTAAAACTCCCTTTTCATCCCCTAATTCCTAACGTCCTTCTTTCGGATCGTTGTTTACGTCCGTGCGCGGGGCTGCAAAGAGCGCGAATGGCGATGTCATCGTCAATGTCGATTAATGTAATTGTCGATCGCGTGTTGGACAGTGATCGATCGTAATTTCGTCTGACACTGTAATAACCGGGAAAGTGGGTACCGGCGTAATACATCGGTCTGTGACAACTGCTGGATAGATTAGTTGATCTTGGGAGGTTAACGCGTCCATCGCCACGTTATCGCTGATCGACGCTGAAAACTTTGTTTGATCAAATAATTGAAGCATGAAAATCATTCTGAATAACGTTGGTACTGTGTATATTGTAAAAGTGATCCGCGTTTGATGTGTCAGTAGGTGTGCTCTTTACGTGGTACATCTTTACATCTTTTGTAGATCTTTCTACTGTATCTTCATACTTTTTAAGTACTATAGATGTTCTTGTATCTCTAGAATCATATATTGTATAGTTCTCTAGATCACTATATATAAATTTGTAAGTTGTATCTCTGTATTGCTAAATCTTTGCATCTTTAAATTCTTGTATTGCCACATGTAATCCCTAAATTTAATTCCTTTATCCCTACGTCCTTCGATCCTTACATCATTACATCCCTAAACTCCTAAATCTGTACATCTATTAATTTCTGTACCACATCTCTAGATCCCTAGATCTCTACATCTTAAAATTTACATCACTTAATCACATGTTTTTACATCACTTAATTCTTATATCCCTTAGTTCTCAAGATCCCACATCGATTCATGGATTTCTGGATTTGTAAATCTCTGTATCCCCAGACCCTTCTATCCTTAGATTCTTAAATTCCTAGGTCTCCCTATCCCTAGATGCCCCAATCCCCAGTTCTGATAACATGAACCACCTAATCGAAACAACAAAAAATTAATTTTGTCCTAAAATAGTTTTCAAGGATCCTCCCAAAAATTCATATTTAATCTACCACAAAACATCGAAAGATTATGAAAATCTGTTTGATTATAAAAATTGAATAAGTATAAATATCTATCGATATATCCAAGCTGAAAGTGTATACTTTCCATAAAAAATTCCCTAAGAAAAATAACCCAATTGACTGTTTCATGTTTGGTTTCATCCTCATATTTTCGAAAATACCATCAAAAAATAAACTGCAATCAAAATTGAGTTTTATGATGTTTAATATAGTCACTTCTATTGTGTGTCTTACTAAATACAGTTGTTTCTACTTACCGTGTGGCGGTCAGTGTGTTTACCGAACTCTTTCTGGCGTCGCTCGACAGAAGTAGATTAAGCGTCTTGTCAGACGAGGTAGAGTATGCGTCCTGTCAGACGGAGTAGATTATGTGTCATATTAATTTTTGCGCGCTCCGAAGATGTCTGATAACATCAATCTTCCTTCTCATTTGATATATCGCATTGTCGGTTATTATATTTATATCTTATTTACATCTTTTAATGTCTTATACGTATGTAATTCTTGTGGTCATTTATTTGAAAATTTTGCGTTTCGTCGTATAACACATATGTCGAATAAAAGTCCTGTTTGTGTATTCATAAAAGTTACGGAAATAAGCTGATATGGAAAGCACTATATACAATTAAAATTAAAGTATGAAATCAAATATTTATCACAAGTTATCATTTATGATGATCTATTGAATTATCGCGTCAGATAAAATTGTCTTTCAATTTCTATACCATCTAACCATTCTCCGTGAAAGAACTCGAAAGCCTTAAATTACCCCGTCATTTTGGGGAGTTGCGTTCTGCCATTTTCCAAAATTGCTACATTTTATGTCCCGCGTAATTGCGCGATGTTTGAGCGAAATCGGTGTAGCCAAGGTCACAGCTAATCGAAAAGGGGCGTAAAATTTCGGCGTGCGTCCGTCGTTGATACCCGACGTTTCCTTCGATCGATAGGAAAAGTCAAGGTTGCCGTTGAAGAGCGGCGTAAAAATAATAACGGGACTGTCCGTGGAGGGAAAGAAGGAAAAAAAAAGCGGCGGAGAAGGAAGAAGACGAAAACAAAAGAGGGAACGTTATAGGACGCGTTACGCTCCCTGTTGCTTCGCTCATTGTTCCATATTTGTTCGGCTTCGGTGACCCTATCGGAAAAGCGCTATAAATAGGGAACGATTTCCAATTTTACACAGAAAGGCAGGCAACGCACCAACTGCAGACGAGATGCGACTCGAGTGCGCCAGACGTTTTCCTTTCGTAATTAGGTCAATCTGTACCTAATGAGACGTTACTCGCCGCGTTTCTGTACACCGGCCGTTCGCGACGTTTCGCCTCATTTCGGTTACGCGAAATCTTTCGGATCGGAGGATTTTAATTAAAGGTTACCTAGATGCCATCGGATACGATTACGCATTGGCCGCTTGAATCTGCGCGATCTACGACTTCGATTTATGGCCGATGCTATACTTCAATCTCGTCTCGAAAACTCCCTAAGTGCTTTGCGAATCATCTCTTCGAGTAGGCTGCATTTATCGGGATCGAAATGCAACATCTTTATTTTCAGTTGATGGAATTTTCATCGTTCTAGGATCTTCGCAAATTTGTGATAGAGTTTCAGGTCGTTTTGGGGAACCTGGGGAAAGAGCTAAGTATGGAGTAAAATTAGATGAAGTTGAGAGAATTTAGGGAAATTCTTAGGAAAAAAAATGTAGACAAATTTCGTGGATCTAGGAAAAACACAAGAGTAAACCTAAACATACTTTTGTTTAGGGGAGTTCTAAGATAAGTTTAGCAAGATTATAGTTAACTGTGGGAAATTCTGCGTGAGATTAAAAAAAGAACCCCATAGAGAATCTATGGGAATCTAGAGAGTCTAAGAACAGTGACAAAATCGAACTTGAACGAGTTAACTCGAATGCTCGCGTTTAACGTAACAAAGGCAATGAAGCTGCACTAAACATTTTACTGGAATCTTTACGTCCGTCTACCACGTTGATCCGTGCTCCACAATTATCACCAACACTCACGCGAAGCTCTCAATTAACGATGAAAACGCAATCTCGCGTTCAAATAAATCACGGGTGGCTAGCAAACAGAAGATTACATCATATCCCGCGAGTTAGCTCGTCGATCACCGTCTGTCGAGTTATTATCGAATATTACGAGGCGGTGTCGCAATCCTGGCCCCGGTGCTCAGTTTGCATTCTTTCATTCACCGAATGCATCAGCGACTTCCTCGTCGACGACGTGCATTTGCACGCGTGGCGCTTTAAAATAGTCACCGGTAAATATACGACGCACGAGGCGGGGAACACACTTTTATTTATCGCGGCTACTACGCGCCGTTTCTGATTGACGCTCGTTGCTTGCGGTCAACTTGGACGGAAAAGAATCGGAAAGACGAATTTTTCTTGATATTTCGATATAGATTCGAGGAAAATGATGGGAATTTTGTTTTTGTTGGTGCGGTAGTATATTCTTGTTAGGTCGGTTGAGATTGTGAGTGTGACAGTGCAAGATTTTGCGTATCATATATGGCATAGTGCAATGTCTTTTGGGTCATATATGGCGTGTTACAAGATTTTGTGAATTATATATGGCATAGTTCAAACTTTCATATGTTATTTATAGCATAGTGCAAATTTCTGTATGACATCTGTGACATAGTGCAAATTTTGATATGTCACATACGGTATAGGGCAAATTTTTATATGTCATATATAGTGTAGTGCAAGTTTTAATATGTCACATATGGTATAGTGCAAATTTTAATATGTCACATATGGTATAATGCAAATTTTAATATGTCACATATGGTATAGTGCAAATTTTGATATGTCACACATGGTGTAGTGCAAATTTTAATATGTCACATATGGTATAGTGCAAATTTTAATATGTCACATATGGTGTAGTGCAAATTTTAATATGTCACATATGGTATAGTGCGAATTTTAATATGTCACATATGGTATTAATGCAAATTTTAATATGTCACATATGGTATAGTGCAAATTTTGATATGTCACATATGGCATAGTGCAAATTTTTATATAACGAATTTATCAATTCCTCAATTCGTCAATTCATCAGTGTATTAATTCACCAATTCATCAATTTATCAAATTTTCAAATTGTCAAATTCCCAAAATTTCAATCTAAAAATTGCCAAATTTCCAAATTCATTATTTCTATATTTCATAGTACCAAAATATAGATTATCAGTTAGCATTATCAATAAAAATTAAGAATCTTCAAACGTGTATAGATTGTGTAATGTCCACATGAAATATAGCGATACAACGCGTGGCGATATAACGCATGTCTATACACAAAAACAACTATCCAACTTTCTTAAAGATTATCATCATAATAGTAATATGTGTCTATAAGTTTAAACGTCACAATTTTTCACCTTGAAAGTATTTTAATTAAATTTTTTCTATCAACTCTGAAGTATTAATAGAAAAAATCTTGAAAATGAGCTGAACCTCTGTTTAACAAAGGGTGTCAATATATCGATCGTCTACTATATTTAATTACGATATATTAATAACGTCTAAAATTCCATTATAAATATTATAAAGTAACAACTATATAGTAACTTCTCTTGTTACTCATTCTTCCTTTTCATTATGTTCATTATATCAACAAATGTACAAAACGGAAGATTCGAAATAATCACATTAATTCCCCTTAAAATAAAAATCTAGATATCAGAATTTATCAGTCAACATAGAACAGGTCATTCATCAGCGATTACACAGGGAAACCGAATGTCAGACCACATATCGGAAAAGGCTACAATTCGCTGTCATACTCGATACCCAATTCCTCTAAGAAAACGTGTATAGAATTCATGAAACACATCCCTGCACGATGCATTCGACGCACGAATATCTTCAACTCCGGAAAAAAACCGAGAAGAAGAAGAAGCGA